CTCTAGCTAACAGTATTACAGCCTCACCAAGAGGGTCTCTAGCTAACAGTATTACAGCCTCACAAAGAGGGCCTCTAGCTAACAGTATTATAGACCAAAAGAGCTTCTAGTCAACAGTAATAGACGCCTCAAGAGGGTCTCTAGCTACCTGGAGTAGATTCACTAGAAGGCCGATAATATATTGCTATAAATGCCAATGTATTTTTAAGAAAACTTTTGTCTAGGGCTGCAACAACTACTTGATAATGTTGATAAAAAATTTGTAATAAAAATAGTTTTAGATAGAATTTTGTCATTGATTACAAAAGGTATCACTGGGTATGATGTTCCACCTGACCAGCAGAGGGCAGATATTGCACACAAACACAAGCAGTGTAGCGAAATGGCTAAACATCTTCAAACAGTTTTAGTTATTAGGCTTGGGTGGTATTGTAGAAATACGGTATATACCGCGGTATTTTGAAATCTTGGCGATAATATTAGCTGGGACACCCCTGCTTGCTGAATGAAGAAAAAAAATCACCAAGATTGTGAAATGCCAGAACAGTGATTTTGAAAGTACAATAATAATAATAATAATAATAATGAATCATAATCACGATAATAATAAAGCATTTATACTTTTCTTCAAATCCTTGATTTGGCCCAACTAATCAATTAGTCAATCGCCTAATCAATGATCAAAATCATAGTTTTTTGCAGCCATAATTTTACCCATTCTCCATGACAGTCACTGAGATGTAAAAAACTTAATCCTGCTGAAAAAGGCGGGGGTGGGGGTGGGGGTAAGGTTGAAGTGCTATGGAGCATGACCTAGAACGATCAGGCCCACCTACCTTGAACAACTCAAACTCCTTTTTTGGCATCACAAGCTTTTAGATAAAGAGAAGGTCATAAATAATGAAGAAAAGGTTCGCAGCCGGAGAGATGCGGGGGTCAGGTGGGGGGATCCTGAGCAGGCTCACCTGAATGCTGCGGCTGCCCATGTCTTGGCTCCGCCCACCACTCACTTCCATCACCCTGGTAACCTCCAGGATGTTGTTCGGTACGTAGCCACACATCCCAGCACTGTTCTGCACCTTCCACCACTGCTTGCGGTCATTTAGCACCTGGTAGAGGATACCTACAGCGTGAGCGCCTCCAACAGGCTAATCAAGCTCTATCCTCTATCAACAATACACATTCCTTTACATAACAAATGCTTTGTTTTGACATAAATCCAATAATCACAATTTCTTCTTTATATATGATTTGAAATAGTTAAATCGGACACTTCTGGAGTAAATTAAAAAATCTTTCACAAAGGTGTCTTTTCAGATAAGAACTACGTCTCATTCCAGCCTGTTTAATGCTATTCGTCTCTGTGTTCTGAAGCGCTGATCCCATCTGGGCCTGATTTTACTTCCCGCCTACCTCCACGATTTCATCCTTCACCACTGTCAGCTCCGTGTTGTTTCTGGCCACAAAGTCAAACATGGACTTGGCGAAATTCCTCGGCTGGGTCCTAACCTGACTTTCATAGTTTCTGCAAAGCCCGGAAATCAGGTTCAACACATATTAAACATAGCACCCAGATTTTGGCTACAAGACAGAGTCAATACAGGGACCTCTGGCAGACTCGCCTAAAACTGTTAACTGAATTATGTTCATTTCAAAGAAACTATGTCTGAAAGAAATAAGGACAGTAAAAATAACAGAACGATTCAGCTACCGACACATCTTACCGAGTAAGTGAGCCAACTAAGTATTCAATCTGAACCAATGAGTAGAAGCTAGATACCATTATACAGTGGTACCTCAGAACTCGAACTTAATCCGTTCAGAACTCCAGATCGAATCCTAAAAAGTTCGAGTTCTGATCAAATTTTCCCCATAAGAAATAATGGAAAACCAATTAATTGGTTCCTGGCCCCAAAAATTAATCCTAAATATGTTTTTTTTTTAGCATTTAAACACAAAATGAACCGGATAAAACAAGAAGAGCATATACTGTACTAAACACATCTAAGCACATTTATCAAAACAGTAATTTGTAAAGTAAGAAAATAAATGTATCCAAACAATGTGTAAAGTTAAAAAAACCCAATGTGTCCTGCCCCGATCGTCCGCTCCTTCCGTGTGCCACACCCCCTCATTAACCCCGTGTGATCAGCTGTTTCTGGTTGTTGTCATTAGTCCTCTGTATTTCATCCGCGTTTCAGTTTGTTTCCCCAGTCCGGTCATTGTATTGTCCGTCTGCGTCCCCTGCCTTACCTGTAATTAAACCCTGTATTCCCCGATACCCTGACGTCTGCGCCTTTGTCTCCGTTCTGTCCGTGTTCGGCATGACAATATTATTATGATTAAATGTATTAATGGTTTATTATTAACATTAAAATAATTAATAAGAAACATTTATTTTTAAATGTGTTTTATTATATAATAATTACTGTTACTGTCTATCATTGTCTAAATGTATTTTTACTGATTAAATATATGTATTCAGCTAGTGTAAACATGCACGGTGCTATCACAGCGAATGCGAGGCTGAGACTGAAGCGTTACCCTTTGTTTCCGCTGAGAGACATGCCACGTGACTCATTTCCTCGCGCGTACAAGTTATCTTAGGTCGGTGTTCACGGTTTGACTTCTGAGATTCAGATCGAGTTCTATGTAATTTTTTTTCAAACTGGTTGGTTCAACTTTTAAGAAATTCGAGTTCTAATGAGTTCGAGAACTGAGGTACCACTGTATTTCCTACTGGTAATTAGGGTTAAATTACACAAAGCACAGTTTGGGAGATTAATGCTTTTCTAATAAAGCTATCAGACTAACAGCCATGGAGAAGTGTGGCAACAGCTTATGGGAACAGCATTTTTCAGAAGAAAAATGTCAGGAAGATGCAAATAAGCCTTCGTCTGTCCGTCCATCCATCTATCCATCCATCCATCTATTTAAAGAGACAATTAGGAAACAGGAGGCAAGGGACATTCTGGACATGATACCTATCTATCGCAGGGTGCACATGCTCACGTGCGCGCACACACACACACACACACACACACAAGAGCAAGTTTAGAGAAAGATTCACCTCAACCGCATATTTTATTCTTTAATATTTAGTTTTCGTAGATTTTTGGCAGCTACTCCCAAAGCACCAGCAGAAAAGAGAGAAACCCGCTTTTCCTCATGCAACGGCCCAGGGACCACAGATTTGCCACAGTTCTCCACGGCTCCCCATTCAGCCGGCCGGTGCCGTGTTACCCAGCTACATAGCGGCCAGCCATGGCCATCGCCTGGTCCAGGGAGTGTGTGTGTCTGTGCGCCGCGTTACCGAGAGCGTACCCATCAGCATGGGGAAGATGTGGGACACCAGCATGCTGGAAGACAGAAGCACAGATGGTACTTATTATAACTGGTGTTTAGCGCTGGTACATATCTCACAAAAACAAGTATATAAGTGAAGTAACCTTCTTAAACGTACATCATCGCATCTACAGAAAAATTACCCTCAGATTACTGGCTCCGCCCCCACATTGGCCACACCCACACAGTAGCCCCACCCAACACTCACCTCCAGGCTCACCCTTCGGTCTACGTCCACCAGCTGCTGAATCTCGAAATCCGGAAGGGGCTCCATCATCTCCTGCTCCTGGGCACGGCCCAGCATCACCACGGGCAGAGACGGCGGCTCCCAGCCGTCACGAAATCGGGGCACATAGGGCGGGAAGTAATGGTCTTTGGGCCACTCCAGCCTAAGGGGGTGGGGGCAGGTGGGGTCAAAGGGAACAGCAGAATTATATTGTATTAACAAAAAAACAGACACACACACACCTATACTCATATCTCTGTGGGGACTGTCCATTCAATTCTATAACCCTAATCCCAACAATGACAACCATAACCCATACTCAGCCCTAACCTTAACCACAAATAACCAAACAAAGTCTTATGGCATTTTCAGTTTTTTATTGCAGTCATAGATTTTTATAAAGTTGACTTTCCCCTTGTGGGGACTGAAAAAATGGTCCCTACAACGTCAAAATAACAGGTTTTTATCACATTGTGGGGACCAAATGTCCCCACAATGTAATGTATACCTGGACCACACACACACATGCCCGCGTACATGCATGAGAGAGAGTGTGTGTGTGTGTGTGTTTTCCCCCCTTGTGTGTAATCCTACAAAAGAAAACCAAAACCAGAAAAACCAGTCAAACACTCCTTTTTTTGGAATAACGCTATGTAGAAACACAACCTCATAGGTGCATATATTACTTTACCAGCAGAAGTACTTCAGAGGAAGAACTGCTGACCCTGATCATTATCACACACCCTCTCTTCAGGAAGGCTTCCGACTGGCGACCACAGAACTCACTAAATAAGGCGGGCTAAATATACATCCATCGACAGAATGAAAAGGACGCATAAATCACGGCAGGGGCCTCTTCTATTTAACACCTATACCTTTTAGTGCTTTGTGGAGAAGCACAACTATGCAAAACCCCGCTCTGAGACCAGATTCTGCACTGTAAGGTAACAGGAATAAGAGGGACAAGCAAACCTCTCCACACTCACCTGCTTTTGGTCCAACCATCTCCAAGAGACACCCAGAGACGCCTCTCTGGGGCCGTACCAGAGGTGTGCAGAAAGTCTATGGCCTCCATGGTGAGGAGGGGACTGAGGACACTCTTTGCCAGCTCCACATCCCCTGTGGCCTGAACCACCTGCAGGGGGCAGCAAAGAGCAGTGCATCAAATAAGGATGTGTGCAAGGGAGAAACTTAAGAATTTTTGCTACTAGCCAACTGGAATAGTTCAGAAAAAAAAGTAGTCTGACCAACAATTTTTTTTTTACTAGCCAGCAGGCTAGTTTTCAGTTTTATGTACTTGCTCTCTGTCTAAATTTCCTTGGGTGAAGGGGCGAGCTTAATATCGAGCCTTTGATGTGTCATTAGTTACAATTAATCTCCATTATACTAAACAAGTATATCCATACCATACACCATATTTCACTCTGAACCATGTCTGCATTTTAGGCTAAAATAATAACTTCAAAATCCAATAAAATCTGCTCTTACACAGTGCTATTCTATGACAATTTAACATGCACCTACCATATTTAGTGGAGTAAACAGGAAGTGCACTAGATCCAATGCACTGGGATTGTTGATATATAACCTTAGTTTCGCCTGCAAAACAAACATGTAACCACTGGAATGAGATGCTGTTTTAGGCTTGGCATCTGAGTGAAGTTTCCTTTGATGTAAAATTTAAAGATTCAGTTTGGTATGGAAACTGTTCATACCAGCAGGTTGAACGCATATTTAAATTTTTGGAAGCAGTCAATGAACTCCTCTTGAGACGGTGGCTTGGCACGTAGTGTCAAAACTCCCTCTAGTGGACAAAACAGCACAGTGCCGTACTATTACTATATACACCAAGAAGAATTAGGAGAATCAGTAACAGCTTCCAAAACAATTTTGATCAAATAAAAGCTCACCTCCCGGTCCTCTCTTTTTACTCTTCTTTGCTTTCTTCCTTTTTGACAGCTCGCCAAATGCCTCTGCTGCCCTCTGGAGCTTGGTGACAAAATATTCGATGTCACCCAAGAGGTGGTTCAGAATTTGCTGCAATGGGACAGAAGAACATTTTAGCCTGTCATTTCAAAGACAATGCAGACTGGTCGATGGAGATCCTCCCAGGCAAACTGCATATGAGGGACCAGGTTCTACTGATCTGGTTGATATATTCTACCTGACCCAACTGGCCCAGATTAAGAGGGAGGCACCCACCACGTCACGGTCGATTCTGGCGGCCATCGCTTCCGGTGACTCATCTGGCTCCATGAAATGTGGGTGTCTCTCGTCTGCAATAGGGGACACAGTGCAGAAGGGTCAGCACAAAGCCAGCTTGAGCATCTAATCAAGTATATATTTCATTTCTGAAAATTAATTTAATTTCCAAACAACTAAGGCAATTCACAATTCTTACTGCAAGGGGGGGAGGGGGGGGGGGACATGCTACTCCATCTTCAGACTTCTCACATCAATTGGAAAAACCTTATCAGCTTAGCAACAAACTACGCAGGCAGACATTTCATTCTACAAATACAATAAGATCTGGGGTGGCTTTCATCTGATGAAAGCTGGTTTGTAACAGTCATCGGCACCATTGATTCCGCTGACCAAAAATGGCAAGCATTATGAAGTTATTTAAATTTTAAATTGGACCAATCAGGGAGACAAACCCCACCCCGCCCTGCTCTGCCCCGCCCCCTCACTCACACTCCACCAGGTCATTGGCTGCTGGGGGAAACCACGCTGCCACTCTGCACATAATGTCCACGGTAGGCGGAGCTGTAGGGGCTGGCTCTGATGGGGGTGGGGGTATGATCCCGTCACTGTTCAGGATCATCCTGGTGGGGGGTTGGGGGGGGGGTTGCATTCAGGGG